GCAGCCCCCAAACATCCACCTCCCGCGACCCAACCCTGGCCCAGAGGCATCAGGCTCCTAGACCCAACTCCAGTCAGACGGCCAAACGGATAGGTGAAGAGAAAAAGATACTGAAGTTAATGCTGACCCAATTGCTGAAGAAGAAGGGCAGATCACAGCCCCAACCAAAGGCATACGCCAGCAAGGCTCGAGCACTGCGCATTAGCTACAAGCAAGCTGCCGAAAGGTAACTCAAAGTAGCGATTATAGATACCAATAACCCTCTGGGTAGGCTAACGGCTAACCGAGCGGATAAGGGACAAAATCAGCTGGCCAAAGTTCTTGACCAGCATCTGTTCGCCCTAAAAGGCGCACCCACGTTCAGGGGTTGGAGGTACTCGGGCGAGATCCTAAGAATATCCTGCAAGAACTAGCATTCCCATGAGCGTTTGAAGGAGGTGGTTAGCACTTAAAGGTAGTGTAAGAAGACTGCCTTCCTAGGCGGCTGCCACAGCCGTGAAGGATCAACCTCCAGGGAGGCCGATAGTTTTCGGCATTGAGGAAAAGGACCAGGCTAACCTAATCGCCAGGGGGCGACGCTGGGTTATGGGTTTTCCTCTTTAAAAATGAGGGTTAGTAACCCTACCGAACCTGAGATGGGGAGTACATCAGTACAATCACCACATTAACATCAGCAGATGCCAGAGAGGCAACTGCAAGAAGCCACGGAAGCATCACCGCCCAAAACTGTCGCAACCCCAAGATAAACTGTAAACAATTTAGTAACTCAAGACAGCCAAACCCAGGGCTCTAGGTACCCGTGGACGCTGTCCACTCTCCTATCGTAATCCAGAAAACATAAACATTGATATGACTACTTATATTCTATATGTTGGAAAATTGAGTTAAGAATTCTGCATACTTTGGCCTCCTGCGTTTGAGTTTTTTTTTTTATTTCATGAACATCAGTGCACATGCAACATGTCAAATTAAAAAAACTTGTCAGTTTTCAGGTCCATTTCATTTTTTTTTCTAAATTTTGGTAAAATTAACTTGCATAACAGAAGTTAATTACTATACAGTTACGTATTCAAAATGATGTAGATGGCTCTAACGGTAAAAGAAGACACTTTTGATTTTTATCTTCGTTTTGCTAAACCTCTAGTACTGAATCTTACCGAACCGGATGGTACGTAGCTATCTATATTTGTTTCGATATACAAGGCCCATTACTCACAGACAGAGTTCTTGCGGCAGCGTGGATTCAGAAACTTCGCGATGAGAGCGTTGGAGACACTCGTCTCAGGACAGATTACCTGAAGCTCTTACTTTTCGTTTTACAACGTGATAAATTAATAGGGCCATTTGCGGAAAATCCAAATATCCACCAACAGCTCAATGAATTTCCACAGTACAAGGTGAAGAGCCTACTTATTACGCCCTTTACAATATTTTTTTAGTTAAATGACGTGGCCAAAGAACTTTTGGAGTCAGAGGAACAATTCCATAAAAAACGTACCGAAGAAGGAATTGGCGGAGAAAATCCGCCGTACACCACAGAATACTCTGCAGATCTACTGGAATATGCAGCAGCCCAAATTATACCGAACTTTGGCATTCATGCCTACTATGCAATTTCTAACGAACCACTATCCAGCTGGAAAAGAACAGAAAAAGCAGTTTTTCCGAGAGGTTTTTGTTTTTTATCGCCACAAATATCTTAAAAATGCCATTACAGGACCATCCAGTGCAACCGAAATTGGTCACACGCAATCGCCCCAAGTCAATGAGTCACTATCCCAGCCGTCAATGGCTTCCAAACACGTTAAATTTAAATTTCAACAAAGAACTATATTTAATTCCCCCGGTTACTCAGGTCCGGTTCCTCCAAAATCGCCAAAAATGTCGACGTCACCTCCCTTTACTAGTCCACCAAAGGGCGAGGGCGAAGGAGAACGGACGCCTCCAACTTGGGGTTCAAATTTAATAGGGGTTACAGAACCTCCCGTCTTAGATCGCACTCCACCATCCCCTTTATTTAAAGAATTAATGGATGAATTGGGAATGTCAGTACGGTCCTCCTCGGAAGATACTAGTCCCAGTAGAAACGCAGCGGTGCGATTTACCCCTAAACATGGCGCTCAAGGGACCTCACCCCTCATTTTACCAGAAGGATTTGAAGACATTCTCGACGAACAAGAACCTAGTTTCGTGGAAGATTTTTATTCCCCACCGCCTTTAAGTCCATCGAAATATCCGAAATCGTACAGGGAAATGATTTCGGAAGAATTTGATCGTCTTATTGATGACCGGCAAAGCCCTCATTCGAAACTACCAAAGACTCCACAGAGATCTCCGAAACCGTACACTTCGTCCAGCCCCGCAAGAACACCTTACTGTTCTCCAATTCTACCGGAAGGGCACAGAGACCTATTTCTAGAAGATGAACCCAGTTTTATAGGAGGTCCATTTTCACCTCCTCCTTTAAGTCCGGGTGAAACTTGGGGAATTGCCCATACATCTGGCGCTTATGTTGACGACAGTATATTGGAGGAAGAACCTTGTCCTGCTTCACCGAGGCCACAGACCCGAACAGGTACACCAAGTCCTATAAAATCCCCTTGCCCAGCCAATCCTTGTTCTCCTCGGCCGATGACGCGAACGCCAAGTCCCGCAAGGACACCAAAACCCTACGCTTCACCAATTCGACCAGAAGATGTTGTAGGGAGTGCTTTTCCGTCTCCCTCCTCAAGTCCAGGCTTTGCAAGTACATCTGGCGCTTACATTGACGAGGATGTAGTAGAGGGGGAACCTGGTCCCGCACCTTCTTCACCACGGCAACCAATTCGAACTGGTACGCCAAGTCCAACAAAATCACCTTGTGGAGTCGGGCCTTGCTCCCCTCGACCGATGAGTAGAACAGGGACGCCAAGTCCCGCAAGGCCACCAAGGACACCAAGTCCAGCAAGGCCACCAAGTCCCGCGAGGATCCAAAGACCTTACGTTTCGCCAATTTTCCCGGAAGGAGGCGCAGACTTATTTCTAGAAGACGAGCCTAGTTTTATAGGAGGTTTCTCGCCTCCTGCTTTAAGTCCAGGTGAAACTTGGGGAATTGCACCTTGTTCGCCTGGCATACAACCTCGAACGGGTACACCAAGTCCAACCACTAGGTCCCCAAAACCCTACTACACCCAGATTCTAGACGAAGAGGGAGATGATCTAATTTTAGAAGATACGCCTAGCTTCATGGAGAATGCTTTCTCACCTCCCCCCTTAAGCCCGGGCGAAGCTTGGGGCGTAGTTCGAGGTACACCACCCGACGAATTCGATGCATTTGATCAAATGCTGGACGAATTTGAGAAAGAGGAACCAAAGAGCATCCGTCGTCCACCTCCAAAACGTACAGGAATCCCTTTACCGCGTGGAACCAGTAGGATACCAAGCGCATCGCGAATACCAAGAGCAGGAGGTTCGGCGACAGGAATTCCTAGTCGAACGGGCCCATCGCAAGGATCCAGGATACCCCAACCTGGTCAAAAATCTAGATCGCGTACTTCACGGCTCCCAACTAAACGCACTGCCCCTACTAAAGAAGTTGATATCTTGTTCGTAGACGACCCAAGCTTACCCTTGCGAACTCCTTCACCAAAACGGCCAGACAACGTGATTGAAGAAATTCCCCTCGTCAGTTCGCCCTATCCAGCCTCGCCAGTTCGCCAATTACAGCAACCTCCCGACCTGTTAGAAACACTCGGATTATCCTCGAACGATCTGGGAGATTTGGAGCAAGAAAACGAACCCGTAATCCAAGAACCAACGGTTGCGTACACAAGCCCAGTTGAAGAAGTGTTTGAAGAATCCGAAGAACCACAAGAATTAGAATTAGCACGCCCCCCTCTTCTGTCTGGAAGCTCACCTGCGGCGCAAGACATAATCGAAACCTTTAATAGAGAAAACACAGGTGACTTTATAGGATCTTATTAGAAAGTCAATGATTAAATTTTATTTAGTTATAGAAGCTTTTCCTGGCGAGGAAGCTGCTATGCTCCCAACATTATCCGAGGGTGTATATTTGGACGATATTGACTTCCCGGAAGCAGACGAATACGAAGAAATGCACGTGTCTGAACGATCACCAGGTGCAACAAGGGCAGATGTATCTAGACAGCTTCGCGATATACAAGCAGACTATTATCAGATGAAATCGACGAGTCCAGCTGATGCAGGAGTTCCGATAACAACGCCTCGAAAATCCCCCATTCCCAAGAGACCCTTAAGACTATATTTTGAGGACGAGGATCGTGGATTTACGTTTACAGTTCCCGAATATCAAAGCCCAGATCGGTTACAATTTGAAACGCCACCGTATTACACCACCAGTCCTGGATCGCCGGCATCGCCAAGCGAATTTCCCGATGAATACGGTTTACCTAAACCATTCACATTTGCAAAGCTGCAACGGATGAAACGGCGAACACCAAGTCCTTCGCCGCCGCAAGTATCTCGTACCCCGCGCACTCCTTCACCAAGTCCTCAACGATATAATGAAACTGATGTTTTGACGGCGGCTATTCCCCAGTTCGAGTTCCCTCGGAGCCCACCCAGAGAATACCAGCAAGAGTTTCAGGCCGAAGTACCTCAGCAGGCAACTCGTTCCCCGCGTAGCCCTTTACCAAGTACTCGGCCGGAGTCAACGGCGATGTCGGAAAGTCCACTACGCACGCCACCACCATTTGTCCCACCAGAATGGAGCATTTCGCATTTGCTGACAGAGGATACAGATATTTTTGAAGAACCTTTTGATTTTCCTTCAAGTCCTGAACCCATACCTGAGAAAGGTTATCAGTTACCAGTCTGTGAAGGAGAAGATGATATATTTTCTGAAGAAGCGCCACTTGATTTATTTGATGAATTATTAAGTCCGGATTCCCCTAAAACGCCACCACAAAAACGTAGGATTCCCAAAATGTCTGTAAGGTCACCTAAACGCCTTGATGCGGTAACAACACGTCTCTTTGAAAAAGAAGATGAACGCATAGAAAGTCCCATTAGTTCGCCTGAATCTCCAATCACTCTAAAGGCACGTTTATATCGAAGACCAGATGAACCATATGAACGATCTAAAGCAACTCGAGCCTCAAGACGACCGCGAGTGCGTGCCATACGAGAGGTATCGGAGGCTTATGATGATATTGACATTCCATTTTTACAAAGAGTGGAAGATTCTCGATCAAAAATCAGGAGACGTCGAAGAAAGATCGACATGAACGTATGTCACTTGGGAAATGTAGCCGAGAGTCCGATAGAGGTACCGTATATGGGTGAAGTTGAAGGTTATTTGCCGGATCTACCCTATCCGGAAGATCTAATGGGGAGTAGTAGGTATGATGCAGCAGACCAAATACGAAGAACACCATTGGATATAACTCCTCCAAAAAACTTACCACCGCCCATGTCCCCTCAGTCCAGAGTTTTACCTGGATGGAGAACACCTCCTCATCTTAGAACAGCTCCTCCAAAGAGACCACCACCATTGTTGCCGGGTTTGGCGGAAAATATTCGACTACCCGCGGAAAAACGAGACATTTTACAATTAGAAGGAGACCCATCAGAAATGGCATATTCTCCACCGCCTATCTCACCAGAAGAAGCGATTCAAATGAAATCCCAGTTTCCTCAACCACTACGACATTCTCCCCCAAGGACGCCGGTGAGAGTACGAGAAGAACTAATTTTAGACGAAGAGCAAGAACCCGAGGAAATGATGTACGCGAGTCCAGTCGCCTCCCCTAAAACACCATCCCCACCACGACCGCGCCCTCAAACTCCGGAAAGTCCGCCAGAATCACCATTGGCATTCAGGCTTCGTGTTCATAGAAGTGAGGCGCCGCCGTATTATAGCAGAGCGTCAATGCCCGTAGTGGTAGGAAACAGGAAAGTATCAGTGAAACGTCACTCTCAAAAGCCTAGGGTGCACTCTGTTAGAGAGATTCCGGACGATTATCCCGAAGATGAAGTTGTATTTCTATCCAAGGTAGAATCTTCTAAAAAGAATTTTACTAAACGAATGAAAAAAATTAAAATAAGCAGACCTGCGTTGGACGAAATTGGTGAAAGTCCTGTAAAAGTTCCGAACATGTTCGAAGCTGAAGACCCGACTGGTGTGAGATACGTGGTTGAAGAAATCGAACGGAAACATGCAGATTTGCCCGACATTGATGTTCAGTACCCTGACGATCTGATGGGGTCGACAATTCCAACCGCGCAGATGCGTCGGGAATATACAACAATGGACTGGACACCGCCCCGAGATCTACCTTCACCTATAAGGCCAACTGCGAATGTTCCTTCGTGGGATTCCCCTGTACGCATGAAAACCAATTCAGGTTTATTACCTGGCAGAGCGGAAAATGTACGGCTACCGAAATATAAGCGAGACATTTTGGAAGAGGAAATTCTTCCAGATCTCCAGCTTTCACCTCCTCAACTAACCGACTTGGAAAGGGCTGAAATGAGAGCGGCGTACACCCCAAAACCACCCCCGATCGTTGCCCGTGAAGAATCTCATCAGCCACGCACTCATCAAGCACCTATCGAAATGCTAGATCTAATCGATGATGAAACTCTTGATGAAGACTTACAATTAGATGATATGCTGGCTGAATCTCCTCCCCGTCCCCGTTCTCCTCAGAGGGAACCACCTGAATCTCCTCCAGAAGATCCATTAGATCTCCATTTGCGCCTGTATCTCGCAAACATACCGGCGAGCTTACAGGAACCACTAGAATATACGGACGTGGTCGTAGGCGGTAGACAGCGCAGGATACAACGGCGATCAGCCGCTCCCAGAGTAAACACTTTAAGAGAAATTTCTGAAGACTATCCCGACGAAATTACGCCGTTCTTGTCAAGAGTGGAATCGGCAGGCAAACTTCCTAACAAACGTCGCAGACGAATCCGAAAGACTAACTTGGAAAAAAAAATGGAAAACGTAATCTTGATGGAGGAACCTCTCCACGTACCAACAATGTTCGAGGCTGATGATCCTACCGGATTTAGAAAAATGCGGGAAGAGTTAGAAAGCCGGTTTAAAGACTTACCTGAATTGCCAGATGAAGGATATCCAGATGATCTGTTGGGACAGGCAAAGGGAGGTACTTGGGAAACATCGCGCAGCATTCTTGATATGGAAGAACCGAGAAATTTACCTTCCCCCTTGCAACCACAAGGTCGTCTATATGGATGGAAGACGCCACCGCATTTAGCAAAACCCGAAGCGAAATCGCAGTCACCGTTTAGAGTTAAGCTAAAACCGGAACTGCGCGACGTTTTGCTCGAGGAAAGGCCACCCGAGGAAATGTTCAGTTTACCCCCATCTCCTCCACAGACACAATCGTACACGTCTCCACCTAGGAGACTTCGACAGTCTCCTGTAAAACGTGCTAGTCCTCTGGGAAAACCTTCACCGGTTTTAAGTCCAGTCTTATCATACACTCCGCCAAGAACTTTTGAGCAGATATCATCTGCGCCAGATCTTTTAGATGATGAAATGCTGATTGAAGATGATTACGAACCTGATTCTCCTTTCGGTGCAACAAGTCTTCCACCGCACCCGCAAACACAAAGACGTCAAGCACCTCCAAGATGGCAGAAACCAACGGCAGGTGGTAAATTACTAGCGCGTGAGGCAGCTAGAGACGCTCGTAAGTTACTAATGGAAGAAGAAGAAGGAGTGATACCTTCTACATCGGAAGGGCCCCAGAAAGAACCTGCAAAGATTCAGACAAAGAAAAGCGGCAGTAGGTTACCAATGAAGAAAGGAACTAGAGCCACACCACGCCCGGCGCGTCCTGCTGTTGGCGCCAGAAAGGTTCCGTCAGGAACTCGACCAAAACGGGACACCCGCAAGATACCAGTAAAAGAAGACGTTATTCCAGTTCCTACAGTTACCTCCATCACCAAGGTGGAAAAATCGAAGGAAAAAGTAACAAAAGAGACAGTACTAGAACAACGTAACGCATGGCTTGACCGAATTGAAGAACTGATTAAAGATGTGGGAGATCCGCACATTCCAAGGCCACGTCCACGAGATATTCCAAGATTTTCTTTACCCGAATGGTCCGAGTTGCCGTCGGCAGCGGAATGGGATGACATTGATTCGGAGATTGAACCTGAGGACGTCTGGATGTATAGATCACCAAAAACACCTTCGCCAGAAAAATCGCGAAGTCCGTCGCCGCATAAAATGCGCACGCCATCTCCCAGACAACGCACGCCAGTACGTAATATCTTCGAGAGCAATGAGGGTGAAGAGTTTCTGGACGATGCAATGCTCGAGGATCTCGATCTGCAAGACGGTCCAATGACACCTCCAACCCCTCCCCGACTGGAAGATTTCTATGAAGTTTACAGCCCACAATCACCAGATGAGTTCGAAGGGTTCACACAGTCTTTACGTGAGCATCGGTATACACCTCAGCATTACGACGTTCCGAAAAGGATGATGATGGCAAGAGTTCTCCAAGTGAAAAACAAGCGAGTACCTCTTAGGCAATCCAAACGGCCCGGGGTTCGCACGGTTTATGAAACCCGCGACGAGCAAGTAGTACAACCCGAACCTAAACCGAGGTACGAGGTTAAGCAGCACAGTCTCAACTTCGAGTCCCCGCCGAAACTGGCACCGGTGCCGATGCCCGAAAAATACGCATACGACCCGTACAGCGAAAGAATTGGCTACACGAGTCCACCGAGGTTCTACTCGTCTCCCGAACCGCTCGAGAAAAAACCGAACGTACAAAGACCCAAAACGCCGCCCAATTACGAGTTGCCCCGGCCAGTTTATTATGGGTCGCCGGGGCGAGAATTTGTACGATCGCCTTTCGCGCAACGGAGAAGTCCGAGGCGCGCATTACCCGAAACCGACTCGGACATGGGGTACGATCTACCCGTAGAAGAACACGAATTGCCAAATTTTGACGAGGAATCTATTCTGTTAGAAGCCGACGAGTTAAATGATGATGACGTCGCGGGATTTCAATGGATGGGGTAGGGATTTAGTAAATTTTTCGAGGTTATTAGACATAATAATTGTATAAAGTAAGTAAAAAAAGATGAAGAAGATATGTAAGTTATTATTTTGTTAATTGTTATGCAACCAACAATGTTTTTTTGTAATTTAAAGAATATTGAATTGCCAATTTAAGCATTACTTTTTAAATCTCAACATGAGCGATCATTTCAAAACCCAAAATAGTTCATTTCGGTGCCACCTTTCAACATTTCCTGAAAGCTCAAGCAAGTAATGGTAGATGGGGGACGAACATTAAAATCAATCCATGAAGGTGCACCAAGCACCTTTCCATAACCTACTCCGACTATAAATCCTTCTATTTTGGGACCTTTTCCGTTATGTTACGAAATAAATAAAAATAATAATTTTGTGAGGGGCTAAGAAACGTTTATTTTTTCTTGAAACGAAAAACCAAAGAAAACACTGTACAAAAACAAAATTAAAGCAGATTCACAACTCAGGGGAGATCGAATAAAATAACAAGTAAATGATTAACCTTGGGGACTTAATCGTACGTCATCGTTTGTATTTGAAACTGTATTCAAAACGGAGTAAAGCGGCTGCTATTATAAATGTGGAAGTTACAAGATTTCCTTATGTGATAACTTAAGTTATGACGTATTTGTAAATTATCACAACTATAATCACAATAGTTAACGATATATATCTATCTAATTTACAGGCCGACTTCAAGTTACCGCAATTTCATCAGGGGCAAAAATAAAACTAACAACAAAAAAGTTCTCGATCTGTCCGAAGTGTAAGATGAAATCAGCCGTACCATAACCATAAATGCATATTTATTAAATTAAATAATCGCTTAATGTATCCATTTTTTTAAAAAATATAATTAATCCGTGTTGCTTGGCGATGTACGGCTGTCGGGGTCCTCTCGCTGACGCTTTAAAGCAATTCTCAAACTTCTCCTAAGAGATTGCGGTTGGTGTGTTGTCTCCTTATTAAGGGACAAGTCTTCGGACTCCCTTCGGACAAATGGGGAAATTTCTTTGCCGACATATCTCCACCGTCCTACTATAGAATCCCACTGAAATATATTTCTCATTAAAATAAAGCTCAATCATTGGTCCCATTAACAACTTTCCCCAAAAAGTAACATGCTGATTAATAGACATTGAAAGGCTTGAACCAAAAACCACAAAATAAACTTTCGTAAAAAGACTTTTCCCTTAAAATCGAGTTTATGAAGGAACTGTCAAAATTAAAGAGGATAAAATTATTTTTATCATGAGATTATATTAGGTCAAAGGATGATCGGTATAAGGTGCTGCGTGAACGTTACACACATACGCTCATGACCGTATAAAATTGATCAAGCTAGGGGGTCCTTTATGTTTAAGGGCAGATTGTAAAGTCGAAATTATTGAAGGTTTAACTGTGGCTGTAAATTAAAAACTGTCGTTATAAGTAAAGGATGTGATGTAAAATATAAATAAATTAACCGGAGTGGTAAACTAAGTACAGAAAATTTCGTGGTAAATCGAAAATTATCCAAAGAAACAACATATCGTTTTAAAAATTGCTGCTTGTTGTTTTTCTTTTGCTTGCGGTTTGTCTCAAATGCTCACAATTGTTTATGAGTAAACCTTGAACTGTTTGGATGAAAATCGAGATGTTTGATGAGTTCTACAGTTATATTCCCCAACAACACTAAGTGAGATCTGTTTTAAAGGTGTATTGTAAAATTCTCATAATTTATTTATCGTTCTGAATTTTCGAGAATATTCGGCAATATTCATCTTCAGGCTATTTATTCTACCCTTATTACAATAAGCCAAAGATCGGATCAATTTTTTATTAAAGTTATGTTTTTAAAAACAATAAAACAGTTTGAAATTGTTTTTTTAGTATACATAGAAAATAAAAACTTTCCAGTCTCACTTCATATGACATAACAAATACTGCACCTTACAAACTCTAAGAATGGGGTCCGTTAACTTGGTCCCCCCCCCCCACTGAGAGATTTGATAGTCGTATTATTTTGAAATGAATGCGCTCATATGCGCCACCGATAATAACTCTTGCGCCATTATCGTTTTTTAGAAATCCGAAAAAACATTGGGGGGGGGGGAGTGAACGTAGCCCCCCCCCCCGTACGTATTTTGACCCTTGTAACTAGGTCACCTGATACGTATGGTTATGCGCTCAATTGCAATTGCGCCTCTTGAATTAAAGCTAGCGCCATTACGGTTAAGCCATAAAAATTTTTTAAAAACTGGAGGGTCTAACTTAGCGGGTTTCAAAAGTTATGTTTTTTAACATGTTTTTCCTACTACATCGTACCTTTCATCATGCGCTAAAATGCGCCGTAAACATAAATCTTTGCGCCACTATAGTGTTTCAGAAACACTATACAGGGTGTTTTTTTGAGAGTTTTAGTTAAACGTTTCTGGGAAAGTAAAATAGGTAGGTTTTTAAAAATCTGTACTTAGGAGTTACTCCGAAGGCCGAATCGATGTAACATATTTTCAAAATGGACGCACTTCCGGAAATACCGGAAGTGGCTAGTAACTTCGTTATTTTAAGTGGCAACCCCTAGTTTCCATTACATTTTTGGATTCTACGTGAAATTTCGGTTCTTTTGATATCCACATGTCGATATCTACCATTTATGGTTTTTAAGTTATTTTGACTTTAAGAAAAGAAATGGCGGATGAAGATGGTAGTTTGATGAAAATGTTAAGTTAGCCCCCCAATTTTTAAAAATTTTTTATGGCTTAAACGTAATGGCGCTAGCTTTAATTCAAGTGGCGCAATTGTGCGCATAACCAGATGTATCGAGTGGCACAAATACCGGTAGCAAAGTGCGTTATGGGGGGTTCCGTTCACTTGGTCCCTCCCAAATATATTTAAGGATAACCAAAAAACAAGAATGGCGCAAAGATATATTTTTACGGCGCATTTCAGCGCATACCTGAGAGTACAATTTCGTATGAAAAGATGTTAAAAAAAAGTAACTTTTAAAAACGTTAAGTTGGCCCCCCGCTTTTTGAAAATTTGTCACGGCTTAACCGTAATGGCGCTAGCTTTAATTCAAGTGGCGCAATTGAGCGCATAACCAAATGTATCAGGTGACCTAGTTACAAGGGACAAAATACGTACTGGGGGGGGGGGGCTACGTTCACTTGGCCCCCCCAAATGTTTTTTCGGATTTCTAAAAAACGATAATGGCGCAAGAGTTATTATCGGTGGCGCATATGAGCGCATAACGAGCGCATTCATTTTAAAATAATACGACTATCAAATCTCTCAGTGGGGGGGCCAAATTAACGGACCTCTAAGAATGCAGATTGCTTAAAGAAAACTCTCACTCGAAAATAAGAATGGGCATCCAAAACTTCATAAAAATAAAAAAATGCAGGAAATTCCACGGTGGGGGTCTCAAAATTTGATGCGTAAATAATGAAGAACTTTCTCAAGGAGAACTACTGCACGTATCATTAGCGTAAATTCGTGAAATCGAGAGTTGCTCGACTAAAAACCAGTATAAACTGGAAACTTCGGAAGAATGTTCTCGAGAATTTATGGGAAATATTCGCGCCTCACACCACTCTTTAGAAGAAGTGAGCGGGACACCGAACCACGAACCAAATCTGCAGGCTATTTACTAAAATAATTAATTATCTGGCCAGTAGGGATAACTTTTTGAGTTTAGCTAGGCTTTTGTTTTTTTTTAGTAACTGTAAGAATTTGTTTGATTAATTGTCTAATTCTAATAAATGTATTCAGTTTGAAATAATTTCTTGGAATTTTTATCACTCTTACTCATGGGAACTAAAAACGTTTTAATTCAAAATCACGCTAACATTGAAATTGAGTAATCTTTCCAGATATGCTCGTGTATTCTGAATATTTCACAAATAAACTTCAGGTGGTGCAGAAACACATTTGGTTAAGAAGTTTTATTTGTGGTTTTTGTGCACCCGTACATAGTCTACTTACCGAAGAACTCATTATTTCATTCTTGTAAGGGTGCCAAGCGACATCGCGTACGCATGCGTTATGTCCACTTAGCTCTCCTTTGATTTTTCCAGTTAAAGCATCATAAACTGGAACAAATTCACTCGTTCACTTTAGCTGATCATCAATGTTAACAAGCACTTACTAACAACACGTCCAACACCACAACCCGTATAAATATACCGCTGTCCCGTCGTATCTACAGGCGAAAATCTACACCTTACCAAAGTTTTAATAACCACGTGTCCTTTATACGTCATGATCGACGTATCGCCTTCTAACTTATTCTTTGAGCTATACACTAAAACGAACTTGCCTTAAACGGTCAGTAAAAAAATAATGTTGACGTTACATTTTTTTGGAACTTCCTGCCAGCGATAATCCCAAGTCTGGTCGTGCACGGCTCTGAGAGTATTTTCGGCGGCGCTTTGCGCGGAAAAGACTCGTACGTCCCACAGCTTTATGCTCTGATCCTTACTATTCGATATGAGATGCCTGCCATCGCCTCTCGAATCGATAAACGTTATACCATCTCTGTGTCCCGCCAGAACACCGACCGGCTTCGGATTCGCCTCGGTTAAGGTGCGCCTGTCCCAAACTTTTATTAAACCGTCATCGCCTCCACTGTATATAATGTGGGAGGTATCGTCAGCGAAAGCGACACTATTAACATCATACTCGTGGGCACGTATCTACTCATTTGTATAACATTTACCGTTTAGTAATGCGAGAAAACTTACTCTAAGCGAACGTCTATTGCTTAATCTATCGTAAACGTAAATATAACCATCGTTTGCACCTCCGAGGATCTCCTTTCCGTCCGACGAGAATATTACTGAGAAAACGCAGAAACGGCGACCGGTATTTACAAGGCACAAGGGTTCTTGATGATCGGAATCTCCCAACACGGAGCATTGGTGCACTACGGTAGGTAATTCTCATGACCAAATTTGAATGGGAAAGCGCACGTTTGTATACTAAACGGTTGCCCCACTAGACGCAATTGGTGGATGGGGCGAGATGCCGCTCTCGCTTGTGGCATAGTTTTGGTTAGGTAAAGCTGGATTGTTTAAATCAAAAATCAAGTGACACTAAAGAAATGACGATTCTGAGGCAACATCAGTTGGTGTTTTTGTGCGACTGTTAAAGAAAATCACTGTTATGACCAGATGTTAGGTAATTTTCTTTCAATTTTAATGTTTCAATCGATCGCATGTGCGTGGTATATTGTCAGTAGGCCCTGAGTGCCTTTCTTTTTTGCAGCATTGATTTTTGTCGAATAAATTTATGTCGTGTGTAAATGATCAGCTGTGCCCAAACAATTAACAATATTTTCACATTATTTAAATAAATTAGCAATGGCGCTTTTTAGATCGTAGATCATAAATGAGGCAATCGTTTAGTACACGCGCCATTAACCATACTTACATGACGAAGACCACGTAGAATAAACAAAATGCTCTCGATCTGGACTGAAGGCGACATCAATAATACTCCATCCAACATCGCGCGCAAAGAATGAGTTCGTGCACTTGTACGAATTATCACCGGATTTGTACAAACGTATTTGACGATCTGGAAAAATACGATCTGGTTACTTGCGGCAAGCGCGCTTGTAGTTACCTTGCGATGCGGTAATGAAGTACTCTCCGTCTTTCGAATATATTCCACAGAACGCCTTACCGGCGTAACGGTCGAGGACAGTCATCTTATTCGGTAAGTAACGATTCGCTATTTTACATTTATTGGCATACGAGAAACTACTATATGTACACATTCCCCTCTGAAAAAGTACCACTGTTAGTCAAAGATGGCGGTGCAAACTTTACTGTACTTCTCTATTTAACAGCATCGCGCCGATACTATTCTGAGGCATTTTCCGTTTCGATAATCCTAAACCGGAAGCCTGTTTGGTTAGCTGTGCAAATTCACTCGCCTAAAAAGATAAGAGAGTTAGGCATACGTAGTAGTAGTAGTAATAATAATAATTGTAATATTTATTGGAATTTGATTACCGCAATCTACAGTATAGATTCTGTCAATAAAAATACACAAACAATGACAATAAAATAATAAGAACAGTATTTAGGATTAAACACATCTTGATTATACAGGCTGGGATGGGATGGGATCTGGAGATTCAGTCCTCTAGATTCGCGTTAAAATGTAGGAACATCTGGTCGTTTGCGATAAGAAGTTTTATCGAACGAAATTTATTTAACGCACGTGTAGTTATCGCTGTTTGTAGATGCAGGGTGTTTTAAAATTACTAGGAATGAGATTATTTTATGGTGGAAGTGGTGTTCCTATTGGAATCAACGAAAAACGAGGCGGCTGCTGCGAGTTGGAGATGACGTTCGTGCTGCAAAGGGAGTGGGGCGCGCTAAGACATACGCATATCGAGACGACCCACCATCTCGCTTTCTTGCCAATGAGAAGATTCGATCTCTGTCTCTAATGATAGAAGAGGGCGTAAGTCGATATAATCAATTTTTTTCATTAGCTGATTTGATCAAATCGTTACACAGCACACTTCGCGAGGAGGTCTGACTGAACCAAGAACAGTTGCAGCAGCGAGAGATACGGACGCGTATTCACGAATTGGAAGAGATCAAGAAGTCCTTGAGAGAGACGGCATCCAATAATAGCGTCCGGCATTTACAAGAGGAATTAATCGCTGTGAATCTGAGAGAGGCAGAGGCGAACTTGTAGTTAAAAGATTTGAAGCAGCGAGTCGGCGAGGTTAGCCTTCAATGGTAGCGCCATCTACAGGTTTATTACCATAATAATAAGTAATTCATTACGTTTCGTTACCAGCAGTATCAGAGGCAGCATCGAGTGACACAATGAGCACGCCCATGAAGGTCCTTTTCTGGGAGAATCGAGAAACAAGGAAAATCAATTCTTTAAGAATTACCATGAGAACATGGAGGGCTGTAAACGTTTAGGGTCCAGGGGGTATGGAACACACCCCAGGAGATTGTAAAATGGGGGCAGCTGAAAGTCACCATTTTATAATTTTTGGGAGGTAATCCATACTCCCAGACGACCCGGTGCTACGTTCTCTCCCAAAACGTCTACATCCCGTCTCAGGTTTTTCTCCGGGGGGATATTTCATACCCTCCAGAGATATGTTCTTCCAAAATATCCCGTCGCGATCTCAGAATGCCTTCGATTTTTTCTAGTTTAGACGAGAGGGGGAAGATAACATGAATGCGATTCGTGGAAAATTATGAAATAGGAGGAAAATGTTAGACCTACCTTCTCCATCTAAAGCGAGTGAATGTGATACAATAATAATGTTGGTTGTGTAATTTCAATTATTTGGAACGTTAAATGCGGTTGCTAATTTAGAATTAACACAATTCGATCATATTTATCCAGTTTGGGACCATTGTTCTCTATTCGATTTATTAACGCTTAACTTTGTTTAAATAATCGCGTTGTATTTTGATTTTATTTTATCGTTCATGGAACATGGATATATTTGCGTGAAATGTTTTGTTAAAGTTTATCTCATGTTATCTCCGGTCGCTGCGATCAGAAATTTGTTATCGCTACTTAAGCTAATTAGTTTCAAGATAAGCAGGTTTCGCTAATAAAAAAACACAGGTGTTTAATTTCAAGGACGCGGACACTGAGAAAGGGGAGAATGTTTTAAATAGCAAAGGAAGATGTGAACAGTGCCAGTTGTAAAATTTTGTAAAAGAAAGTTAGCGAGTTCTTTGAGGGATTTTTAGCACACTGTTTAAAGTCAATGTTTCATTCGGCTTAAGGAAGTGTAGTTTATGAAGGGAGTTTTATAGTTTATGTGCAGACTTTCCCAGTATCAATTAAGGGGAGCCACCATTACATCTGTAATTACAACGATACATAATCATTTTGTACCAGATTTTGTTAATATTTACCTTCGTTTCAATGAGCTAGCTAAACATGTGCTTGCAGGTAGTTTAGTGAAGGAGGTTTGAAGCAAATATGAAGATGTAAAGAAAACATAAGTAAATGACACACGATATGAAGGCGTGAGGCTGTTGAAGAGGAAAAGAAACAAAGGTGACGTATATAGGACCATTCCTTCTTTTGTTTTACTCAAATTTGGTGTAGTGGTCTACTCGAGTGACCCTGAAATTGGCAGAGCAGGGTATATTTTATTAGCAAGGGGGAAATTCCGATTTAATTCATGCATCCTGTGGCCGCCCCCTGTTCTGCTCAGCACTGTTGCAGTGTATCTGCACAAGATGTAATTGCAAAGGTGAAAAATAAGCAACTATTTTGCAAAATACCTTTATGCTCTAAGAAATAATAAAACAATATTCATCTACTGCCGTGCCTTACCTTCAGATCCTCGGTATTCGGCTTATGCTTGATTTTAGGTAGAGGCGGCCCATAATACTGGTCTTCATCGTCGTAATGCGACGTAATAATATGAACGGAACCACTAAAAAAGATAAATAGAGCATGTCTCGTAAGAAAGTCAAGAATCGTACTTTGTATACCTATTAATTAGACTTTGCAAGATAGCGGCGTAGTCGAGCTCCTGATCAGACTCATCTTCCGAACCGGACTGGTGTCTGCTTTCTTCGTCGACCATCCTTCTTGATCTCGAATTATTTGATCCCATAAGGCTCGCGAATGACTTTGGAGGAAACTATACGTTTTCGACGCTATTTGCTAAACATTTTATTTTTTTGTGAACGTCCTATGTGTATCTTGTAGATGATTAATGATTAATATTACATGTGGGGGGATTAGATGAAAATTTTGGAAAATTACACAATTGTTACAGAAATGAAGAAAATTGATGACAATAGACAGAAGGCGCATGTGCGGTCCTTCATTTCATAAACAAAAACACCTATATACAGTGATGGTCAAAACTTACGTCAATTAATCTTCCCGAGAATTAAATTATTAAACATTATGTTCTGCTGTTTGTATACAAAATTAATTCACTCTAGTTAACAACTCTCTGACCTGTTTAAAACTTTCAGCTGAGTATCTGCAAGATTCCATAAAATCTTTCACTGCAATCACCTTGTGTGTGACTTCACCTTTATAGATTATAATTGTGAGGTTATCTTTAGTTAGTCACTATTTTCAGAATTACACAAAAAGTGAGCACAAAATGCTAAAACCGAAAGTTTTAACTCAGGTGTTAAGCCAAGCGAATACTGGAGGAATCGAGAACACCCTGTAACAATAACACTCCGCCCCTACGAATCTTACCACTAACGTCGTCCTTTCAGATTGTTAAACCAAGAAGGCACCCTACTAGCTTACAGTGGCTACGACGACAAAAGTGCGCGGGTCACCGCCGCGATCGCCAGCAACATTTGGTGCGCCTACGAAAAGAATTGTCGAAATGCGTTTAGGGAAGATCGACCACAAATGATTCTCATGGAGTGTATGGAGGGTAGAATCGCGATCACGCAAGTTGCGCACGTGTTGCTTTGCCTCTATGCTAGAAATACCGTCGGATTTGGAATGCTGAAGGAGAAGGCCAATGCTCTTGCTTTGTATTTAGAGGGCCCTTTGAAACAAATTACGTTGTCCTAACTGTTTAGTTTATATTTTAATCAATTTGTATTGTTAGTTTGTAATTAAGCACTAGATCTTCTTGTGTTATCTATTACTTTATTCACATCCACTGATTTTGTTCTAGTAATATGTATTTTATACAAATTAAATTACATCTGTGATATTCTTCCGTTTTTGTTGGTCGCTTGTAGGGTTTGGGTAGGAACCAAGTTGACTGACCGTATGTGTTAGTCGCCTACCTGCATTTATTACTTTGAAGAATGTCACATTGTGGCTGAAGTGGAAAGAGAGTATATAGTTATATGGATATTTTATTGTTGGAGGTGGTTTCCTATCAACTCTAGCTAGCTTTAATCTATCTCCCTTAAGATTTGAAGAATCCTGCTGGAAGGTTGCATTTCCTCACGGAACCTGTGTCTTGACCTGTAATATATGCAGGAGGAGTTTCTTCTTCTTCCTTGTACCCTCTGCATAGTGGGTCAACTTTTAGGTCTACATCCGTTAGGTAGTACTTATAGTGAACTAGACAGAAGGTGCCTTTATAGTAGAGGAATTTGCTTCTGTCCCATCAGGTACTGCTGGTGTAAGGCCGATATCGACTAGAAAATATGCTGGCTTGGGTGGTTACTGCTAGGGATCATTGAGATTCACAGTCAACACTGACTGACTAGGCGAGTAAAATATTTGGGAGTCGTCATAGCTTCCCGACTGACCTGAAAATCGCACATTGAGCGAATATGCAACTAAGGTCACTCCTCAATGTCTATGGGCATGTAGAAGTAGGGCTTTTGGCTGCATTGAATGGGGCTATGAACCCTCGACTGGTATACTTTGGCTTTAAACTGTAGTGATAAGGTCAATAATTACTGTACAGTATGGTGATGGCCTGCCATGCTCAGTGCATATAACCTACAGGAAGCAGCTTGGTGAGGTACAGTAGAGACTTGCCTGTCTGGGAAACAACCACGCGAACTTTGGCCATGGCGAGGGCCATGGAGTCACTTTTAGGACTAAATCCTTTACACTATGCTGTGGTCTATTCTATTCTATTCGCAGGGGAGCCCGACCGGGCAGCACTTAGGCACACCAGGGGCCCATTGTGCCTACCCCCTTTCTTCGCAACTGAGTTCAGAGCCCGTTCCTCTCAATGAAGGATATAGGACCCTGTTTAGCCTAAGTTGCTTCACCCTCCTCGGTTCCAGGTATCTGTCTCCAAGGAGTTGATATCTGTCCCTGATCAAAGCGTCACAGTGACAGACCACATGCTCGGTAGTTTCATCTGCCTCGCCACAGAACCTGCACGTTGACTCCTCCGCGAGCCCAATGTTATGCAGGTGATAGTTGACCATCCAGTGTCCCGCAAGAACACCAGTGATCTTCCTAAGCTGGCTTCTATTCAGTTTTAGAAGCTTAGAAGACCCCGATTTGCCAACGGGCCCTGTTAGAAAGGCCTTGGACTGCCAGAGTCCGGTTACTTGTTGCCACTGAGCCTGGAATTGACTGGTCAACCAATCTTTAATCCTGGCCCTAACAACGGAGGGAGCAATCCCTAGGGTAGGCTCGGGCCCGACGAAGACCCCACCACTGCCTTCGCGAGCCAACTCGTCCGCCCTTTCGTTGCCCCCTATTCCGCAGTGCGCTGGCACCCAAATCAAGCTTACCCTATTAGACTCACCTAATCTATCTAGGGTTCGCCTGCAATCAAGCGCCGTAGCTGACTATCACTGCATATGTATATATGCTTATTGCGGTAACCTCTACGGAGGTTTTCCTGTGCACAGGTCATGATGGCTAACATCTCTGCCTGAAACACGGTGCTATGCTGACCAAGGGAGACGCTGACGCTGGCTCTCGGTCGATCACCATATATACCCATGCCCGTTCCCCTTTCTGTTTGGGACCCGTCTGTAAACCACACGAGCCCCTCAGGTTTGAGGAACGGGCAATCCGAGTTCAGCCACTGCTCCCTATCCGGGAGAATGACTTTATAACGCTTTGGTCTTAGCAAGATAGCCCGGATCACGTCCCTCCTTGCGAGGAGGGGATCGGTTCTGAGGGTTTCCTCCCAGATCCGCCCGTGCCCAAGGCTGCCTCGATCCTTCCATTCGTCCCAATCGTTTAGCCGTATGGAAGCTTTCCGAGCCTCTGCCTCCACAGCTAAGTGTAAAGGCTCTAGTCCCAGAAGTGCCTCCATGGCCAAGGTTGGTGTGGTTTTTAGGGCTCCAGTGACTCCCAGACAGGCGAGTCGCTGGACGTTTCCTAGCTGCTTCCTGTAGGTTACCCTGCGCATGGCAGGCCACCATACAAGTGCACCATACAGTATTATTGGCCTTATCACTGCAGTGTAAAGCCAGTATACCAATTGAGGGTTCAAGCCCCATGTACAACCAAAAGCCCTTCTACATGCCCATAGACATGCAGTGACCTTTTTGCTTATGCGCTCAATGTGCCCTTTCCAGGTCAGGCGGAAGTCAATGATGACTCCCAGGTATTTCACTGACCTGGTTAGACCCAGTTGACATCCTCGAAGAGCGAGCCCAGCAAGATCCGCTCTCCTTCTATTCGTGAATGAAACAACCTCGGTCTTTTCCGGGTTAACGGAAAGGCCATGGCTACTGCACCACCTATCCACCTGTTCAAGAGCCCCCTGCATGAGCTCTTTCACGGTGTTTGGAAACTTCCCAGTTATGACGATCGCGAGATCGTCCGCGTAACCCTGTGTATACGCTCCCCCCTCGTTCAAGGTGCGGAGGAGCCCGTCTAGTACCAGGCACCACAGCAGTGGAGACAATACCCCACCCTGCGGACATCCTCTAGTAACCGATGAGCTCATCTCCGTCATCCCAATTGAGGATATAATGATTCTGCTTTCGAGCATGGCTCGTATCCATCTTACGATCGACCCATCAATACCAAAGCTCTCAGCAGCCTCACTAATCGAATCGAACGTGGTGTTGTTAAACGCACCCTCGATATCTAAAAACGCTCCCAGAGCTATCCCCCCGGAAGATATTCCCTTTTCCAGCCTGCACACCAGGCTGTGTAGAGCCGTCTCCGTGGACATACCAGCCCTGTAAGCATGTTGGAACGGATGTAGTGGTCTACTAACCAGTACGCCATTCCTTATGTATGCATCCACCAGCTTCTCCACCGTTTTTAGAAGAAACGATGATAGGCTGATGGGCCTATAGTCCTTCGCCACGCCATATTTAGCACGACCCGGCTTAGGTAGGTACACAACTCTTACCTTCCTCCAGCTTTCGGGGATATACCCTAAAGCCAGAGAGGCTCTGAAGAGATGCAACAAGTGCAAGAGCAGCGGATCCAGGCCCTTCTGTAGAAGAGCCGGGAATATCCCATCCGGTCCTGCACTCTTAAATGGGCTGAACGTGTTGACCGCCCACCTCAGAGATCCCTCGGTAACCACCCGGGAAGCTACCTTCCAGTTGATCGGCCTTACACCGACCCGAGTAGCTCCTTTTGGTGGGTCCGAAGTTTAGTAGTCCCCAGAGCCTGGAAAGTGTGTTTGTTTTTTGCCCCGGGTCCTTCAAAAGGATTTTGAAGTTTTTGAACTTCAGGAAGACCTTCCATGTTACCACAGAAAGTCCTCCGAGATCCTCGTTTCGACCTCCGAATATGGTCCTTATACCTGCGCTGGGAGATCCTAAGATCTTCCCAGTCCGCAGGTAACTTAGTTCGCATGGCCCTATTAAAGAGCTTGTGAACCTCCTTACGAGCCTTTTCAAGGTCTGAGTTCCACCAAGGTGTTCTCTTCTTCCCTCGAAAGGTACGCAGTTTACAGCTGTCCTCATAGGACGCTGTTATGGCGTCGCTTACTAATGCGGCCGCCTCTTCCACCTGCTCTGCTTTCCGACAGAGCAAAGGTGGTCTATCCAACCGGTCCGACAGTTTTGCCACATAGCAGTCCCAGTCAGTGGATCGGGGATTCCGAAACCTACAGGGCCCGCAGTGAAATGCCAGGTTCAGCTGGAAAAGAATGTGCCTGTGGTCCGAAAGCGACGGCTCATCAGACACTCTCCAATTCGTGATCATGTGAGCTATTGAAAAGGAGCCCAGCGTCAGATCAATGACCTCCTGCCTCCGCGCTGTGACGAAGGTAGGGGCTGCTCCCTGATTTAAAACATTCAAATCAGTTGTTTGCAAGTACTCCAGAAGGTGGTCGCCCCTCGAGTTCGTGTCCGTGCTGCCCCACACAACATGCTGTGCGTTTGCATCACAGCCAACCACAAGAGGGAGCCCACTACTTCGACAGTACTCTATCAACTCAGCCAGCTCCTTGGTTGGTGGAGCCCTTTCTGAGTCGTACGGGAGATAGGCGGAGCAGACCACCAAGTGCCTGCCCCGTCCTCTGTCATCTTTCAGCTGAAGTCGTAGAGCTACGAGATCCCTGAAACAAAAATCAGCTATTAGATAAGACTCGATTCGTCTATCGACATAAATGCAAGTCCTCGGGTTCAGTTGGCTGTCCCTCTTATAATAAAGAGAGTCCTCCACCTGGCCCAGACCTCTTACTCGTCCCTTGTAAACCCAAGGTTCTTGTATGAGGCATACGCCTGTCTGCTTTACAGCAAGTTGACGACCTATTAGACAGGTCGCCCCCTTACTGTGCTGTAAATTGCTCTGTAAGAAGGTTACTTTGTCCATCACTGATGTACCTACTAGGTTCCCTCCTCCGTTAGCGATGCCGACGGTTCCGACCCCTGGTCGGAGCCAAGAACCGCCACACGAGCCAAAAGCTCGCTGACATCTTTCTCGATCTCTTCGGGCGCCGGGAGCAATCCCGCCGCCTCTTCGAGATCAACACTGCGAGGTTGAGCCCCCTCCGTCGCAACGGAACTAGGTCCCGCTGCTTCGGTGGAGCTCTCCCTTACCTTGCGCAGCCGGAGCACCCGCTTTCGTCACAAAAGTGACGCGCGAGACCCCCGCGTGCGCCTGAAAGTTCTGTCGCTGGAGTGCCTGATAGGACGTCTCATCGACACCAAATGCGAGGAGAATCCTACCAGGCTCCTCCCTGCGAAAGAACGTCCTCCATAGACCATAGGATTTTGCCTCTGGAGGCGCTTCAAAATGGTGTCCGTGTCATCCGGGAGCCCGTACAACACAGCCATCACCTTGGTTACCCTCGGGACGTGCCTCTGAACT